GAAGCTACCTGAAATCACGCTCCACGGAGCACCCTTCTCAAGTGTGTGTGCGTGTTGCGGCCAACATGGAAGTCGGCTGTGCATTTCTTCCTGCAGGCAAGCGGAAACTGCATTGTTTGAAGCAATGTGGTTGCTGCTGATCGTGCTTGCGATCTCTTGTCCATTGGTGTGCACAGGGCATCAACAAATGGGCCAAATAGGCCTTTCACATTCATGACGCGAGGCACACCTAGCCAGAACTTGATTCCAAACGGTTGGCCCTGCAGCATCGTCCATACTCGCCAATTGCCAATCGCGCATTTTACCCAGCAATTGGCCCCTGCCAAACGCATTGCCATAGCAGAACAATGCAAATGTCACTGAGAGTCTCCGCCCAAAGCTTCTTCCAAATGCTTGCGCGACAACTCGATTGCATTTGATGTGCTTCCGTTTTGCTGGTAGCTCCCTCCGTGGCGTGGGCACCTCGGGCTTGGGCGCCACATGGCGCCACAAACAGCCCGATGGAGTCCAGCAGAGACTTTGGGGAAGGAGTCAGGAGTCTCGAGGATGTACTAGCAACTAGAAGCTATTAGGTGGAGGCCATCGCTACCAATAACAAGAAACTACTAGTAACAGTTTAGTAACAGTGGCCACTTGGAAGAGTTTGACCTGACCAAATAGGCTTCGCGGCTATGCAGTTGGACCAATGTGACCGGTGTGACCGGACGGGCTATGCATTGGTCACTGAGCACGGGCCCAGGCATGTGTGGTTTGACATTCTACGCATGCCCGCCAAGTGCATCTGGGAAAATTGGGGTAAACAAGCTGCACCCGACGCATGCGAAAAACAAAGTACAGGCCACGCCACAGCAAACAAAAATGCAGCAGCAAAAACAAAGGCATGTTTTTCCCCGCAAGATTTGGTGAAACATGGTCGCCTTGAGTGTAAGACTTGAACAAGCACAAATGTACTCACAAAGTTTTCCGCAAACTATGCGCCAAATGTCCCAGCAGGCTCATGGTCAAACAAACCCAAAGGCTGTGTAGTCCTGATGGTAAAACTGTTTCACCAGCTCAATTGTCTTCGTGGTCGGCGCGATCCTTGACCACAGAAACAAGGAGGAAACGGATACCAAGCGTCGTACCATGTTCGAAGATTTCCAAAAACAACATATCGCCACAAAAACATCGAGAAAGTGAGAATGTGTATCTGCCCCACTGTTTCTTCAAAGGCCCTTTGTCCACCCGAAGCACTTTACATACCACACCGTGTCCCGGAATAGCTTTCCAGAAAAAGTCATCAAAACAAAAATAACAGTTTACCTTTATGCTCGGCGCGGGAAACCAGTTCCCTTTAACAACGTTTTTCTTGATCAGTGGTACCATTGAGTGCCCAACAACATCCAACAACTGAGTCTCTAGGAAGAACCATGGCAAAGCATGAGAACCTACGAACCAACACGAGCCCCTCTGCCCCATGTCATATTATTCAGAGCCCGCACTGAGTGTGTGCGTCTGTCTGTTTCGGTCTGTCTGTTTCGGTCTGTCTGTCTCGGTCTGTCTGTCTCAATCTATCTGTCTCAGTGTCTGTCTCGGTCTGTCAGTCTGTGTCTCGGTCGGGGAGGACACACGCACGAACACACCCACGATGTCAATAATGCAGCCTCCCCCGGGTGCGCATGCGTCCGCAATGTCGATAGGGCATTTTCCCCCGGCTGGCATAACTGGCATCGCGAACGTTTGGTCCGATACAATCTCAACATTATCAATCTTCAAAAACCTTGCAAAACACACCATTTCCAGTGCATTCACGGCCCCCCCTTAGCTAACGCTTAGGATTATATAATCCTCCAGAAGATTCTTACCGTTTACGCGATACCTCCACAACGCCTCGGCACCTTCAGCACGGGCGGATTTCATGCTATGAGCCCCTCCAGGTACGAAACAATATCATATTCGATTAAGCTCATCAACTGAGATCAGCTGCTGCCACCTTTTTCTGCGAATCGATTCAGGTCTGTACGGTCTGTACCTGGCTGCTTTGGTTTGAAAAGCGACCCACGTCGCATGTGTCATCTGACATCTGACACTCTGCCTGTGGGAGCACTCCATCCGTATAGTGTGACCGAGAGGATACCGCAGGGGGCGGTCCTACGGCCACGACGGATGTCAGCTCTAGCTAGAGCCTTGAAAATCAATTGAGTAAAGTTAGACTGAATCCAGTCATCACCAATACCTAGTGCGGCCAGAACAGGTATGATGGCTGGGCGGCGGTCAGCCGGAAACGGACGACTGGACAGCAGCGGCAGACAGCACAAGTCACAGTCACATGTGGCGGCCAGCCCTGGCTGCAAGCGTAGCAAGCGTAGCCATGGTGACGAAAAAGACAACCATAGAATGGCCCTCAAGCTGACAGCGGATGCCGGAGGTGAACCGACTGTCACCATCTGATCAAGGACTCCACTGGCACCATGCCGGGTCAGCCACCCGCTAGACCAGCGCCATGTAGGTGGCAAACAAGGGTGTGGCAGGGTGGGAGAAAATTTTAACCTGAGGTACCAGCAATAGCACTGCTCCTCAGGGGTGTCTCCCCAGTTTGGCTTGAGCATTCAAAAATCGGGGAGACATTGACTTGAAGCTTCCCAAATAATTCCTCATCACCGACCCTGCCTACCTTAAATGATTGAATATATTCGATTAAGCTCAATCAACTGAGATCAGCTGCTGCCACCTTTTTCTGCGAATCGATTCAGGTCTGTATGGTCTGTACCTGCGTGCTTTGGTTTGAAAAGCGACCCACGTCGCATGCGTCATCTGACATCTGACACTCTCCCTGTGGGAGCACTCCATCCAAGGCACTAACATACCCAAAGCACTTATACAAACTGAAAGACCTTGGCGATGAGGTGGTAGGGCAGCTGGAGGAGCATGAGCAGGGGGTAGGTGTGAAAGAGTCGGAAACCATGCCGTTGAAACCATGGGTCCTGTTCTCCCTGTCTGCTGATGCCATCAGACCAGTTGTCCTTACTCTGAACCCATTCAAAGTAACAAGCACTACGGAGTGAGGCCATGAACAGCTCCAGCCATGGAATCCAGCTCGTCATTGTTGCTTCGCCCCCGGATGAGGGACATAAGGGCCGCAATATTGTCGACAAACCATATGCCATGCATTCCTCTGGTAGATGAAGCATTGTAGGCCAGTCCCAATATAAACTGTCAACAGCTCAAGTTGTGCAATCTTGGCTTCATGATGGGACCATACATCAAAAATCTCGGGACGGATGTGGACAACATAGGCACGACGTTGGCCATGGGGGTCAATGAACAAGACCCCTGCCGAGCCCTCCTGGCAGATCTTGCGCAGCATCAGATGCTGCCAAGCACCGTTGCTGCCTCACGGGGCTGAGGGGAAGTTCGCGCTCAGGTTTCAACAGAAGTAGTGCTCGAATGCGATCAAAGGACTGGTAGAGCTCCGAAGTCATCAGGACCTGTGAGGAGTATTGCCGCTCCTTAATGCTGTGCAGGCCTGACCTGCCGAGTTTGCCAAAACACCCTGTAGTCAAGAACCCGAGGCATCCAAAGAGCTTCGCTGCAAGTCCCGGTGGGTTGGATTGAGCAGCTAGGGATTGATGCTTCTCCTCTTGAAATGGAGAGCCGAGGCATCTGGCGAGCTTGTTGACGAAGGCCTGACCCGTGCCGCCCATAATGCCCAAATCCTGAATGGTCAGGTCATCGAAGTACATACTGGTCGTGCAGTAGGCCAAGCGGCGGCAGGCGGCCTGAAAGAAGCGCGGGAACCGGTTGAAGGAGCATACTGCATTAGGCAGGCCAAACAGAGAGCCATAGTATCGTCGAAAGTGAGGGGCTCCAACATGGTGGTCATAGTATGCCACAATGGCCATGTTGCTTTGCTCCGGTTTCATGGGAACACGTCGATAAGCGTTGGGCAAGTCTTCGCCACCCGACCAAATACCGGCTTGTAGTAGTTCCGACTGGTGTGACGAGGAAGAGGCGGCTTGCCACAAGAGCTGAACGTGTAGGCCCGGTTGAATGCTCGTGCAGAGATCCAGCTTGTTCGCGTCCGAACTGAGGGCGCTTTGGCCGGCGTCCGCGGCGTCATCGATAACACGCAGCTTACCAGAGGGTTGTTGGATGCAAAACCGTCTGATCAGTCGGAATTGAGGGAGCTCTTGGCTAAGTTGGGCCCATGTCAAAGGGGGGGCCGCAAAAGCCCTTGGCTTGGTCGTCTTCACCTGCCTGTACAATGGCAGCATCGTGTTCACCGGGGCGGAGACTGCGAATGATGCGGCCAGCTTCCTGCGGCGCATCCTGGTAGATGGAGTCGGCTGTCACATAGTGAGCAGGCTGAGCCTTGTAGGTGGGCACATGAAGGGAAAAGCCCACAGCCGAGAACCCATAGAGCAGACCTGCCACAAAGGTGGTGTCGGGCCAGCCGATCAGCAGCATGATGAGTCCAATCAAAACAATGTGGCGTCCCTGCATAGCGGATCTGATACCCGGTGGCTGATAGGCCTGTAGATGGTGGGTGATGGGCCACGTCCGGCGGCTCAACTCCTGAAGCCGTCGGCGCACCTCGCGAAGCTTGACACCCTGGGCGGAATACCCCGCCGCTGCAAAAATCAGGTCATCGTCCACCACACCCGTAGATTCAAATGGGGTGGGCCGCTGTTGAAGTTCGAGTGCCAACTCAAAATGTGTGTCCTCCCCTACACTGAAGGGGATCATAGGAGGCAAGGCCTTAGCTGCAGCAGCCGCTGAAGGCCGCTCACGGCGATGGCAGTACGCTCCAACGGACCCACAAGGCGCGGTCCGAACGAGTGTCCGTCCCAGTCAGGGCGGTTCTGCATGTAGGTCCTCAAATCATGGGCCATTTGAAACCGTCCCATTTGACCTCCGGGCAGAGGGCCATGAAGCTCGCGACGACAATCTCCTGGGAGAAGCGAAGAGGTACAGCCCTGGCAGGGCGAATGCCAGCCGCAACCAGCGAGACCCGCCGGAGGTGATCCCGCGATCGAAGGTGGCGGCGTCCATGTGATGAAGTTGTCCGTGAGGTTGTCCAAGCTAGCGCTCGAAGAATGTCACCGTGGCAAAGGACATTGTGGGGGGCAGTAGCATACGAGGCTCTTGAAGTGAAGTGAGTGCAGTGCAGGTCTGCCAATAAGTGATTCTGGTCAGCAATCCACCTAGCGTAGTGGAGGACACTTTCCAAAGCCGTTCGGCCTTCCCCCGCCTTGAAGGGGTTCTGCCATTGTGTCAGTGCCCAACGGTGTGAAAAGTGGCCAGGGCCAATGTACACGTCCTCGTCCGTGAGATGTGAACGATTCTGAAAGACATCAACTGCAACCAGGCGTGTTGGGACATACTAGGAGTCTTCCAAGGGAGGCGAAAGGCCAAGTGGAAGCCCATAACGGTCATCAAGTCTTCACGTAGCTCGGAGGGTTCAAAGTGAAGGAGCGGTCTGATGTCCCCTGAGGTAGCGATGGGTGGCAACCGTGGAATGGCCAGAATGCCGTAGCCCTGTCGGGCTGTGCAGCAAACCGCCAAGGTGAAGACCAAGCTGGGTGTATACTCTGCCTCGTTGAAGGTGGAGAACTGACCGCTCCGAGACGACCGCCACTCATTGGGGTCGTGAAGATGTCCGCACCTGACAGCAGGGAGGGAGGCAAGCTCAGGGATGTTGCGACGAAACTTCTGAGCTTTACGTCGGGCCCAGCCGAAGACACAAGCATCGTAGTCTAAGTCGAACCAGTCGCCCTCCTGGTACACGAACTGCTCAATGGGATCCCACCAGTGTAGGGACCTCAGAGGATTCTCGCGGAGGCACGCGATGTTTTGACGGTGGCCCCAGCGCTGTAACGCCAACAGGTAATCACTAGAGAAGTTGTCGGCGTCCACCCGGTCCTGATTTACAGAATCCAAACCCAAGGCCCCGCGGAAACTCTTCGGATCGTAGGGGAGGAGGTCCAGGGCGCTTCTCCCAGGCCCGAGATTTGGTAGCGCAACCCATAGCACCAGCGATAGTGGCCACTCTTGGAAGGACCTCCCGGATAGCCCTACGGACCGCCGGACGCGACACGTCCAGGTCCTGATCAATCTCGATGTCGATCGGTGTGATGATCTCCCACTGGCACCACAGAAAGGCCTTGGACAGGGGGGCATGGACACCGCTGAAGATGTCATCTTCGGACTTGCGCATGTCAACGGACTCCAATTCATCCAGAAAAGAACGAAAGTCATTGAACACAGGATTGTCCAAAGGCTGGCCTCGCCCTTTTGGCAAAGGAGCGGGCCCTCTTTTCAAGCAGCTTTAGGGCAACCAGTGGGTGAGTGCTGAAATGAGCCACAAACTCGTCCAGACTGCAACACGACACCGCAGCAATGCGCTCCGCGCTGGCAATTCTTCTTGGTGCGGCACTGGTTGCGCTGAAAGGCCTGGCACAGCTGCGTTCCATCACGGAGGCTGAATACCACTGAGCCCACCTGCCCGGCAGCCGCGTGTGACGCCGGAGCCGATGCAGCACCACCTGAGGCTGCTAATGCTGGGCGCGGGCAGGGCCCCTGCCAGCCAGAGCTCCCGCATCACCGCACTGACGATCGTGCCCAAGGTAGCGATTCCGGTGCGCCGGGCAGCCCACTGGCCGCGTTCCTCGACATCGAGGTGCTGAAGTAGCTGCAAGCGCCTGCCTCTGAGGGTGTGCGAAGGACAAGGTCATGGCACCTGCTGGAGTAGGACAGCAAGACGTCGTAGGGCACCTGGACATAGTTCAAGCTGTCAGTAGTGAGCGACTCAGGCGCAGCCGGCGCCGGCTCGATAGGGCGACACCCCACGATGGCAAGGGCCAGGAAGTACGTGTCCATCTTGGCCATGTAGGAGAGCCAGGACTTGGTTGTAGGTTCATCGTCGTCGTCCTCCTGCAGGTAAAAAAGGTTGTTCGTCAGTCGACGGCGCTTCTGACTGTGGGTGCGTTGGAATGTGAGGGAGCGCACAGTCCACAGGTCCTGACTTCGAACTGGTTGCGAGTCAGCTGACGACTGAGCTTTGACAAGAGGCGGTCCGAAGGAAATTGCCGGGGCTCTGGACGTAGGTGGTACCGCCGAAAGAAGGCTCCAGCTCCTGCTTTGGCAGCAAAGCTTCTTCCTCGCTGGAAGCAGCCGGCATGCTGGCAGCTGCATGCTCAGAATCCAACAGGGCCTTACAGGCCGTCCAGGCAAACCGCAGGCGTGCAGACTGGAGGCGCCCTTGCATTTCTTCGTAGCTGGGGTCCCTGACGGCGTCAATGAAGAGACGCTTGACTTCGTCTTCGTTGCGGGCATAGTGGCGGAATTCCGCTAGCATGCGGATCCCCAGCTCAATGATCTTGTCCTTGATGCGCTGGTCGAAGTTGAACTGCAGAGCCAAGGCGGTGAAGGTGTCCTCCGGGGTGCCAAGCTGCTTTGGGACAGCGGCCATGATGCCCAAGGGAGGAGTGCAACACAAGTGGCGGCAGAGATCGAGAATGGCTGCAGGGCCAAACCATAGAACATGTCCAATTCCTGACGTCAGGGAATCAACTAACACAGCAAACACAGTGGCGCCAAGACCTTTTCAAAAACTCCGGGCGTCCGCTGCAAGATACTAGCTGAGCCGTTTCACAAGCTCGCCAAGCTCCAAGCCCAAGCATCGCAGCGCCGGCCAACTGATGGCGTCACTCGCAGCACAGGCCTCATGGTGAGCAGTGTGAAGTAGTTGGCGAAACCGCGAACGATCATCTTCAGGGAGGCGGTTATAGTGCTGGGCCAACTCGTCACAGGTGGAATGGACCAATGGAGCGTAGGGAGGCAAAGTACCAGGTCTCGGGACAGGCGGTCCCAAAAGCCCCTCCTGTGGGCAAGCCACCAAGGTAGATCGAGCCGTTGCCAGCCTCCCCAAGATGAGTGTAGGTGGCTCCGGGGCACCACTGTGCCCAGGTCGACGCCAGCGCTCACGCGCCGCGGCATCGAAGGCTGCATCATTGGCCTCCTGCAACTGTACCAACGTTGGGGAGTCTCGGATGCCGGAGGCGGAGCTTGGGGGATAGCCTTGCCGGAAGAGGAAACACTAGATGGCCCAGGAACAGCAGCTGACGATGATGCCTGAGGTGAAGTCGAAGGTAATGCTGGTGGCGCCCTTGAAGATGGAGTAGCCGCGGAAGTCGATGGAGGCAAAACCACAGGCAACACGGGAGGCACCCGTGGCGGAGGTGCCTTCGGCGGCTGCCTTGGGTGGAGACGCCACCCGGGCCCGCTTCACTGGCCGTGAAGGACTGTTGAACGAAAAGGTAGAAACTGTTGTCCTCGGCCCGTGAGGGGGCCCGGTATCCGGGCGGACTGCCGCAGAAGGGGCCGGGCGCTTCCGCCGGAGCGCTGCAGTGATGCGACGACCAGTAGCTTGAATGACCTGAACTTGGGCAGGAAGTAGAGTCTTGACCACCGGCATGCCCGGGATGGAGTCCGTGGTGATGAGACGAATCCGAGGATCAGCCGCCAACAACTCGTCGGCGTCGCCCACGCAGGTCTCCCAGCGCGCCTGTGCATAGCCTACAGGCAACTCGTCCCACAGTGCCATATGGAGGTCCTGAAAGAAGTGCAATCCAGCGAGGCGTAACTGGTGCCCCAGGCGCTGCTTCTGAGAGTCATACCGCAGCGGAGTGGTCGCCGTGGTCTTAAGATTGGAAGACTGGTCAGTCCATTGACCAAGAGCGAGGCGTTCGGTCTCGGACAGCCCAACATAGCCTGCCAGCGTTGGAAGGACTCTGCGAAAGGAGTACGAGGACAAGCTTGTGACATCCATGGCGGCGCTCAAGTGTGGGCGCAAAATACGGATGAACTGGGCCGCCCCCACAGGTTGAGCAGTAGAAGAATCGAAGCCCAACCAGTGCCATCGCCGGAAGGCAGCTCCAGAGTGAGGCCGCACCTTGTTGAGGTGGTTGCCCAACACCTGCAACAGATCCAAAGCGCCGCAATAGCGTGGCACGCTCCATGCTAAGCCGCCACGGCTCCCAGTCTTGCCTTTCGTGCACCAGAAGACCAGGATGCCCCCATTGCCCCCCACCAAATAACTGCGTTGGAGGTGCGTGTACCGGACGACCCCGAAGCACATAGCTTAGGCGCAGAAAATCAAAGGCCAGTGGGGATTAGCAACCGTCAGCTCCAGCGTGCCCAACAGGTGAAACACCATAGACGGCTCCAATGTAGCGGCTTGGGCCTGCCCCTGGCCGAGGCGTGCTCCCAGTCCAGCCCGAGGCTTGGTGACCTCCGACATGTCGAACGGCAGGCGCAAGTTACGGACCAACCATCCCAGCGCGGTATAGGCCCGAGTAGGTGCAGCATGCTGCCGAACAAAGGTGGCCAGCAGGTGCTTGTCCTGCTGCGCAACTCCAGCGGATGCGAGTACCCCCTGCAGCTCCTGCCATGTGTGAAGGGCCCGCTTCACCGTGGCGGCCTCCGCCCGTTGTAGCACGCCCTTGAGCCTTGCCTCGAAATTGGCTGTGAACTCCGCGAAGCGCTCGGCAGGCGGGGGCTCGATCGCCAAGAGGATCGCCATGAGCTGGGGCAAGAAGGACATGGCGCCACCAGCAGGGCCACCCGACAGGTGGCCCTGGGCGCTGGGCCTGACGGGCCCGCCAAAAGATGGAGTAGGCTACGGCGTCAAAGTTGGCGATGTAGTTGGCCTGGGCACAGCCAAACCTGCTCACGACGGAAAAGGTCCCGCACAAGGGCGCCAGCACCAATTTCGACCTCGCATCGTGCCTATCGGCCACAGCTCGCCCCTCCAATAAGGCCTCCTCATAGGTCACGAAGTAGAAGGCCAGGTCAGAAGCCGCCTGAATGCGATGAGCTGCGCACCACCGGTCGAGCTTGGCTTGCTCGACAGCGCGGCGCTTCTGTGCATCATCACTGGCCATGGCAGCAAAGGAAACTGAAGAAAATTTTAACCTGAGGTACCAGCAGCGGCACTGCTCCTCAGGGGTGTCTCCCCAGTTTGGCTTGAGCATTCAAAAATCGGGGAGACATTGACTTGAAGCTTCCCAAATAATTCCTCATCACGACCCTGCCTACCTTAAATGATTGAATATAAATCAGGCGTCACTGAGAACACTTTTTGTCCTACATAAAGTTTAGAGAACATCCACACCTACCTATGACACTTTTTTTCCTGGCTACTGGCCCTACCTTCACTGCAAGCTGGTCGTTCCAGAACTCTTTGCTGAATCCTTCCAAGCATCTCACCACACCCATCGTCCGGATCATGTTCATGGACACCTTCGAGCGTCACATTTTCCAAGCCGTAGCGCTGCATCAACTTGGGGAACTGTTCCGCTGCATCTGTCATATTCAGCACATGGCGGCATATTCTTTTGCTCTGAGGATTTCCATCTTGGAAGGCGTAATAGACCTGGACCCGAAAGGCATGCTGTTTGGGTCCTTCCGTGTGCTTCCGAATTGTTAAACTGTTGCGTCAGAGGCAACAAACTCCACTCGCACCGAAGGTGCTGAAGCATAACTCGGTGTGGTTGTAATCTTCCAACAGCACGTTGTGTAGCGCTCTGCAGAAGGGTTATCCTTGCTGCCCTGATGTTACCCTATTTCCACTCTCAAGAATTACAACAAAAACTATGTAAATTCTGCGCGGAAAAATTGTTCCTCCCTTCTCTACGACATTGGTCAAGTCAATGTCAAGCAATGTCTGCGCGCGAAGTGCACCCGTACGCCTGGGGGACCAAATGGCAATCTTCTGCCAGGAGATTGAGTTGCTTCGCCAGGCCCTTCATGGCAAAGAGTTCCAATTGCTCGGCACTGCAAAAGCCTCAAACTAGCTGATAAAAAAACTCCCCAATGGGACGTCCACTGAAAAACCGAAATCGTCCCACAGCCTGGGCCTTCACGTGGCGCCACTTTCCGCCAATATCGATATTGGCTTATGAAGCGGTCCAGCGGGTGACGCACCACGCAAAAAGAATCACAGATATCCTCGGGAGTCACGGGCGGATCAGCCAGCCTATTCTTGTCACTACTACTACTACTACTACTACTACTACTACTACTACTACTACTACTTGAGAGAGGAGGGGGTGCAGGGAAGGTAGCAAGCAATCACAAGTAACCCTGCTAGAAAGTCCACGACGGCGTCAAAGGTGGATGGATGTGACCCAACCAGCGACGGCGCAGGACGGATTTGGTCCAGGGGGGGCATCGAACAGAATCCAGTCTTACACGACCAAACTCAATGCAAATCACCAAATCCTGAGCGTAATACTTATTGCTAAAGCAAGGAAACCTCAGGTAGCTCAAGCTACCTTTCGTGACTTGTCACCACGGAAAAATCAAAAGTGGCCGATAGTGATCACACAAAAGCAACTTTCACAGGGGAAACGCCTTCCACCTTCATCCATGTTCCTACTGACAAAAAATACGCGAACACCCAAACACCTACCTGGGGCATGAGGCAAGTCGTGTGGGCTGTCACACGCTACTTTCTCACATGTGTGTTTGTGTGTGAAACCTTTGAAATCACACAAAATCCGTTGATTCACTACCTTACACTTTTCCCGAATGCGTAGCGAAGGGTTCTCGTTTAACTCTGGGGGTCTGGGGGTAGAGTCTTGTTCGCGATCCGTTGTTTCTATGTTCGCAACCGTCCGCAACCGTTCGCAACCGTCCGCAACCGTTCGCAGTAGGACGCTAAGGCGCTGCCATTGGGGGAAGCTTTTGTAAGTGACTTTTCATGGATGTGTCACGTGTCAGTTTGCGACGCTATTCCATTGTGATTTGCATGAGAATGACATGTCGCGCAAGAAGCGTGATGCATTTCGCTGCACAGGCGCAGTGGTTTGAGAGATCCGCAGTTTACTGCGCAGTTCCATTGGGATTAGCGTTTGGAGAGTCGTGTTTTTGGGTGTTGGATGTGGCCGTGCCATTGGGATTTGCGTTTCAGGGTGTGGCATCGAAGCTCTGTTTTCGTGACAAGTCTCAGCTGAAATGGCGATTTTGGTGGATGGGAGTGTGCTCAGAACGGGTCGAAATCATTCTAAACGTGTGGTGTGGTGCAAATTTTGTTGAAGCTCACGTGAGATGATCTTCTCACTTTTCGTGGCAGGCACAGTACTTTGTGCTGATTTTGAGGTGTGGAAGTGCGATTCTCGTGGCAGGCGCAGGAAATCGTGAGGTTGCGAGGTGTGACGGAGGTGACATTTCGTGGCAGGCGCAGTACTTTGTGCGCGTTAGACGTGTGGATGCGGAAAGATTCGTGGCAGGCGCAGGGAATCGTGAGGTCGTGAGTTGTGGTAGAGGTGAATGTCGCTGTCACATTGGGATTGGCGTGTGAGGGGGTATTGTTTAAAGGGGCTGGACTCGCGAAACTGCTTGGCAGGGCTGCGTGATGTGTGTGCTCCGATGGG